TTAAATATAACCACTCATGTTGATTAAAGTTTTTTCTTGAATATCTTCAAGCATGCATTTAAGATTGCGTAATTGCATTGTCTTATTAAGGGTTATTTGAGACTTTATCAAGATCTTATGAGATTTATACATGTAATTGCACTAACCACTTTGATGATACTTTTCAAGTAGCACAATACTATAAAACATATCTCTTCTATTTGTAACTATATATATTTACTTTTCATGAGACATTATAGAATTTTGATGATTGTTGCTACTTGTGTTCAAGGACAAAAATGAAAATATGGGCATGATCATTGCTAAGGGAGGAAAAAAAACTTTAAATTTCACTTTTCTAATGCAAAGCTTTAGATGATCTTTTCTATAACTTATACATCGTACTCTATTAGGTGTGCTTTAGAGGGAATTTCAGAGCAATGATGTAATCAAGAATAAATCTTTTGATAAAAGAGTTGACAAAGATTTTATTAATTCTTCTTCACTAAGTTCACTTAGTTGTAATTCAATCACCTTGTAATATATATATGCATTCCTAAAATCTAGTCTTTATGTAGTAGCTCAATTTTGATGGTCCTTCCTATCCATATCACTTTAATTTAAGCTATGTTCATGTCTTGGAAGAGCAATAAATACTTTTCTAATATGATTCAATGTTGCTAAGAACTTCCCAAGGATAAAATTTCTTAAAGAATCTAGTGGATTTACAAATTTTTTGCCATTAAAGATGAATTTTTGATCATGCAGTCTATAAATAAAACCATCCTCTTTTTGTAATATTGTAAACACCCAACTGGCCTAGTATATTTTAAAATGTATATAATTTTTTCGCATTAGTTTTTGATATCTTGAATTACCATCAAATGCATGGGTAATTTTCAGGCTAAAAACTTATTGCAAACTATTATCCCAAGTGTCATGAACTCACTCCCATTGCTGTTGAATATCCAAGTTATAAGACTTCTAAGATTAAAGTTACTATAACTACAAATGAAATATCTAAATATCTATTGTAAGTAAGTTGGATAACAAGAAATAACTTTGGTAGATTGTAATAGTATAGTAAGTTCACTTTAAGCACATGACTATAATGAGTTTGTTAGAAATTGTCAAAAATTGCTATAATGTTATTGTAGCCTTCCTCTCCTGCCCCTACTTTAACAAAAAACATGTCATCTCACATGTGATTTGCATTTAGACCACAAAATCCAACAAGTATATCTACCTTTACATCCAAATGTAATGTTGTTTTGATGTATGTCTCATCTTTAGCCCTAGTATAAGAATTCTCTCAGCATTTTGATTTATATAAGTATTGTAGATGCTTGAACTTGCTGGAATATATCAACCTATAACTCAATACTTAGTTTATATATAGAAAACTTGAAATCTATAGAAAAATACCTACACTCTAATATTGTAGTGAAGTGTTGTTCTTATAGCTCGTCTGGTTATAGAAGTACTTGGCCTAACAAAATTTTAAGGATATAAAATCATCAATTTGTGCTTCTTCATGGATTTGAATAACCTCAAAAATTTGCTCTTAGCTTGTATTTCATGGCTATCCACCAGCTGGGCAAAACAAGTTCTTGGATATATCCACAAGAAAATTCCAAAACCCTATCTTCTTTTCAAATTTGCTATCTCGTGCTATATCACAAATTTCCTTGTAAAATTTTCTACTATCCATGTGATCTAAATCCTTTGAATACTGCTCACTAAGACCTTAAACTTTCATAATGATTCTTTATTATTGCTTCATAATTTGAGTCTTAAATTATTATATAAGTTGATGCCTTAATCATGCATTAGCAAAAGCTCTTTCAATATCACCGTATTTTCTTAGAATCTTAGGGGATAAATGGGGATAAAATAGCTACTAAAAAACTCTTTTATCAAGCAATTGCCCTTTTTCAAATTAGATTAAGGGGAGAGAAATAGAATGCGTTATATGTGGTATTAGAGCAAATGGCACTTACTCAATTCCCATTAATTAGTGATTACTTAAAATATAAATACCTTTGAATAAAGTATATTCCTACCCCTAAATTTTAAATTGTCTTTCCTTTTGTGGAACATCTAGGGATAAAGGTATCTACTATGAGATTGTGGTACGAGTGGATGTTCCTACTCCTAAATTTGAAATTATCCTTCCTCTTGTGGAGCATCCACGAACAAAGTTATTCACCATGGGACTGTGGTAAAAAAATATCAATGTAATCTACTATAATATTTAGGTATGCTTTAGTTCCATTCCTTAGCTCTATGTTTAAGAGTTTGGCTTTGTCCCTTCCTTTAGTGGCCTAAGGCCCTAAAATTTAAATTCCACTCTATTACCATTGCAAAGGTTTAAGTTCTATTTTATTATAATCCTATGGTACATCACTATAGGGACAAAAGTGAAAACCACATGTGCTACAAAATTTAAGCACTCATCATTGTCATTTCATAAGTGATAGAATAGATATTGATCTCATTATAATGTCTTATGCATTTAAAGTTCATCAAATCCATAACCACATTCCAATAACTTCATATTGGGATTATACATAAACTTTATCTAGTAATAAAGGATATATTGACAGCAATGGTGGTAATATAAATAGTTATAGCTCAAGTTATATTAATTCATACTCTAGTTAGCCAAATAGTATTTGGAGAACTAGGAGTATAGATAGATACAATAGTAATGGTAGGATTAATAGTGGTGGTGGAGACAATGATTGGTAATTCTAGATTTAATTATGGTGGAATGATGGGAAATAGTGAAGCAATAAGTGGAATGAAGGAAGCTATAGTGTTAATTATAGAACTAGATAGTCTAAGAGAAGAGAGAATCTAGTTGTTTAGGTTATACCTTTTAATGGTTTGTCACAATAGTTAACTCTTTCCTCTAATAGCTTAGAAAAGAGGATTATAATGACTCATAAACGCTTTTAACAATATTCTATACAACATTCCATAAAGGGTAAACTTTTTTTATCTTTCTTATCTTTTTATTGTTTGTGATGGTAAGTATTGATGTCTCCTCTACACAAAATATATTTACCATTTTCATGGACTAGTTGTGGTGTATGCTTATTACCAGAGTTCAAGATAAATTCTTTTACTTTTTCTTCATCACTTTGATTTAACAAATAAGTCTTGATTAATGGTTGAAAGGTCATATTGACCAAGTTAATAATTGATTCCAAAGTGACTCTTTTATGATATTCCCAATTATGTATCCACACTAGTTGCTTCCTTTTTTACCAATGAAGATATGTGTCATCTAAGTTAATGATGATAGCACTTAGCCAATATACCATGTTGTTTTAAAGAACTCCATATCCAAGACTTACTATTGTTTTAGCTTGCAATTGTGATTATGTATCATAAACTCATTATGCCAATCTATTTTTGAATAAAAAAGGAATTCTTATTCAAATGCATAACAAGAGTGTTTTTAACAATTTTTTTGGAATCAACTTCCATAAATGGCTTAAATGTTTTTTTACTATGGCATTTAAGGTTGAGGCAATGCTTTTTCTTTATCAACCATACTATCAAAAATATGTCATAGTTCCAATGATGCTACTAGTTTTTCATCATTAGAAATGATATTACTTTCCACCTCTTCTAAAACATCTACTTCGTCACTTATTATATTCATAACTTTTAGTGTTTTTGTTGTTTTTTTTGTAATGCACCCTATTTCTCTCCCTTTAAACCAATTGGAAAGTGGGTAATTCAATAATAAAGTATTGTAGTGCACTCTATCTCTCTCCCCTTAAATCAACTAGAAAATAAGCAATGATAAAGTATTATAGTGCACCCTATCTTTTTTTTCTTAAGCCAACTAGAAAAGGGGCAATTTCTTGATGAGAGACTTCTTAATGGCTATTATATCCTCATTTATACCTTCATCCACATATATGCTACACTTATATCCTTATTGATTATTGACTAGATTTATTTTTTAAATAGCCATGAGAATTGAGAATTGAGCCATGTAACATGCTTTATATTTCTCCCCTTAAACCAATTGAAAAAAAGGTAATTGCTTAATGAGAAAACCCTTAATAATTATTTTATCCTTATTTATCCCCCAAGGTTCCAAATGATAGTATATACAAATTTTATCTTATAATCACATATGCTACAAGTATTCAGTTGATGACTAGTAGATGCAAACACTCTTAAACTTCTAATAACACCACCTTTATTATCAAACTTCACTTAGTAAGTAACTTGTATTATAAAATCATTTTCCATAGGAATTGAAGCACACTTCAAGTATATTAGATTTCCAAAGCCTTCATGGTTAACTCAAACACATGATTTATGATAAAAAATACTTTTAATCTTAACTTCCTTCCCAAGATAGATCACAATTTGTTAAGTTTCCAATTCACTTCTAACTTATCTTGTAGAAATGGCTTTAAGCTCACAAGCATTTTGTGATACTTATATGTTAGAAAATGATATCCCCAACATAATCATGACATTATTTCAATCCCTAGAAATACACACATAAAAACTATTTATATCACAACATTAAGAATGCATTCTGTCTTACTATATTCTTTTTAAAATGTTTTGAAGAACCAATCAATCATCTATTGTTAGAAAAAATTTAGCAATATTTGGCTGTCATGCATTAATAGTAGCAAGATTGAAAACATCTAAATCACTAATTTTTCATTTTGCCTTGCCATCAGTAGTGCTTCTCATGATTGCTTCTACATAGCCTTTGGAGACAAGATGTTACTCTATATTTTGAGTGTAAGAGCCTAAAAAATTATTTAAATTTGAAATGAACATAATGCTAAAAAAAAAAAAACAATTCACCTTGTCATGGAAAGAGTTTGGTTACATAGAATCTTCATACTTTCTAAATTGTTAAACTTACAATCTGGCAAAAGAACAGTTTAACTCCTTGCAAATGTTAACAACTTTCTCCATCATCCATGAGTTGTTGGTTTATGGAGGGTAAGAGAACTTAATCACTGCCAACTAAAAGAGTGGTTATGGCACATAAGGCACATAACCATAAGAAACGTAGACATTGAGCACCCACCTCTCAAAACCAAACGAATGCACTATAGGTCAAAGGACCATACTGCCTCTTTTTATCCACACTTGCAGTGTGAGAAGAGGGGATAAGAAGCTACCTAAATTGGAAAACCATAAGCGATTCCAATTCCCAGTGTATCTCAAACCGCAATGCGTCTTTGGATAAAACAAAATTCCACCACCTTGTTTGCCACATCCAAGCCTTCTGAGCTTGCAGCTCGAAGTGGAGGATCGCCTAGTCTGGACGAGTTCTGGTGGCCTCACCGGATTCTTGCTTGCTTGGACATAGCCGCGATTGCGGCTTTGGCTCCGCCTTGCACTGCTCTCAATCGTGTTACTCGCTTCTCTCTAGGAAAGAAAGGTTACCTCTAACTCGTGTAGTTTTGTCTTTTGCAGAGTGTCTTCCATCTTGCTGCTGCTCAACATTACGGTCAAAACGATTTTCAACAAAACAAAATCCAAACCTTACCTCTGAGTCGATATTAATCGTTCTCAATCACGCGAAAGCTTGCATGTTTGACAGAAGCACGTACACAGCCGAGTCTCCCATGTCTCCGGAGCTCAAAACGCTCGTCACGGCTTTCTTCCCGTGCCTGACATCGTTCCGGCCTCTACAAGCTCCCAGCAAGGACTTCCACTCGACACCATCCGGCACAAACGGCATGTCCGCGATGAGCTCTCTCGCCTCCACCAAGTGCCCGGCTCGAGCAAGTATGTCCACCATGCACGAAAAATGGTGCTTGGAAGGCTCGATCCCATAGTCCATGATCATCGAGAGAAACCACTGCCTCGCATCGTAGACTTTCCCTGCGTGGCTGCTCGCAACGAGCACCGAGACGAAACAAACATCGTCCAAGGCGTGAGCGAGCTTCATCGAGTGGAATATCTCGAATGCCTCGTCGGGAAGTCCGTTTTGAGCGTAGGCCGCAAGCATCGCCGTCCAGGACACCGAGTTTCGATCCAGCATTGCCTCGAACATTCTTCTGGCAGTGACGAGATCTCCTGCTTGGAAGTAAGCCGCGAGGATCGAAGTCCAGGAGAAGGAGTCTCGCTCCGGCATGGCATCAAAGAGCTCCTTTGATTCTTCCACCAGGCCGTGACGAACGTAAGCTCCCAGGATGGAGTTCCAGGCCACGAGGTTCTTCTGTGGAAGCGTATCAAACATAAACTTTGCTTCCTCGAGGTGGCCTTGCTGAGAGAAAGCACTGATGAGCGTGGTGACGAGCACCAGATCTTGCTCGGGCATCGACCAGTAGAGCGCTCTCGCTTGATCAAACCGGCCCTTTTCGATGCTGCAAGTGATCATCAAGCTCCAGGAAGCCAAGTCCTGCTCGGGCATGCGATGGAAAACCTCCATAGCTTCGTCCAATCGCCCTTCCTTCGCAAACGCAGCAGCGAGGACGTTCCAAGACACCATGTCCCACTCGGGAATCGAAGAGAAGAAGTTTTCCACCTCCTCGCAGTTCCTGTTTTGTGCAAAAGAAGTCAAGAGTGAGTTCCAAGAAACCAAGTTGTGCAAAGGCATTCGATCAAATACCTCTTTTGATGACGCAAACTCCCCATTCCGGGCAAATGCTGTGATCATCGCTGTCCACGAGACAATGTTCTTCTCTTTGATCATAGAAAATATCCTTTTCGATTCTCCAAGACTAGCAAGCTCCGAGTATGCAACCAGCATAGCGGTGCACGAAACAGTGTCCCAAAAAGGCATAGAATCAAACACCCTTGTCGATTCCTCCAGATGCCCATTCTGGGCATATGCTTCCAGCATCGCAGTCCAGCAAAGAACATCCTTCTCGATCGCGAGAGTGAAAATCTCCTCCGCCTTGTGAAGATCTCCACTCTGCCCATACGAAACGATCATCGCCGTGCAAGCCACCGAGCTCCTCACCGGCATCGCGTCCCAGAGCTCCCTCGCTCGATTGATCCCGCCATTGCGGATGTAGGCCACGATCATGAGATTCCATGAGAAGAGATCGAGATTTCTGGAGCCGTGGAGGGCGTCGAAGACCCGGCGCGCGTCGCTGGAGCTGCCGCATCGCCCATACATCTCGATCAGCTTGTTGAGAAGGAAGACATCGTCGTCGCGGACGAGGTCGCGAATGCGGGAGTGGAGCGTCGACGCCGCGGAGAGCTTGGTGCACGATTGAATCGCCCGGAGTGTTTGATTTCTCCCCTCGATCATAGAATACCCAAGAACCCTAAAAGTTTGAAAAGGGGTAAAAAGGAACAAGAGCCCTAAACTTTGAAAGGGAGAAAGGGGGCAAAAGAAATATTCCTTTTAGGTCTAGCGCCTTAGGGTTTTTCCAGGGTTTGGGCGACGATGAAGGTGAGAGTGATCTCTCGATCGGAGGAGGCGTTCACTCGCGAGCGATCCCAGGATGTCACCAAGGTATTCCGCAACCTCGATCCCCGCCTCCACCCGATGGAGCGCGCCCAGGAGTACACGCGCGCGCTCAATGCCGTCAAGCTCGACAAGATCTTCGCCAAGCCCTTCATCGGCGCGCTGTCGGATCACAGGGACGGCGTCTCGTGCATGGCCAAGAATCCCAGCCGCCTCAATTGCCTCGTCTCGGGCGCCATGGATGGAGATGTCCGCCTCTGGGATCTCGCCTATCGCAAGACCGTGGCAGAGTTTCCAGGCCACAATGGGGCCGTGAGAGGGGTCTCCATTTCCAGCGATGGAGATTTCCTGGTTACCTGTGGAGACGATTGCACTGCTCGGCTCTGGGAGCTTCCAGCGGCGGAGATTGGAGAGGTCTCGGGTGGCGTGAAGCACTGCGAACCTGTGATGGTTTTCCAGGACAAGAACTCTTTCCGAGCAGTGGATCACCAGTGGGAGAAGAAAGTCTTTGCTACTGCTGGAGCCAACGTTTCGGTGTGGGACTATAACAGGTCCGAAGCAATGACGAGCTTTTCCTGGGGATCCGAGACAGTGGTATCGGTGAAGTTTGATCCGGCCGAGCCGGACGTGTTCGTCACCACGGGGAGTGATCGAAGCATCTGCCTCTACGACTTGAGGATGAACACTCCACTGCGGAAGCTTGTCATGCAGACTAGAACGAACGCGGTTGCTTGGAATCCTCGCGAGCCTTTCAACTTCACGGCCGCCAACGAGGACTGCAACTGCTACACTTACGACATGAGGAAGCTCAAGTTTGCGAAGTGTATCCACAAGGATCACGTCTCGGCGGTGATGGACGTGGATTTCTCCCCGACTGGGAGGGAGTTTGTGACGGGGTCTTACGACAGGACGGTGAGGATTTTCTCCTACAATGGTGGCCACAGCAGGGAGATTTACCACACGAAGCGCATGCAACGTGTTTTCAGCGTCAGGTTCAGTGGGGACGCGACGTACGTGATGTCCGGCAGCGATGACACCAACATCCGTCTGTGGAAGGCCAAAGCATCGGAGCAGCTCGGCGTGCTACTTCCGAGAGAAAGGGCCAAGCACGAATACCTTGACGCCGTGAAGCAGCGGTACAAACATTTGGACGAAGTCAAGAGGATTGACAGGCACAGGCAGCTTCCCAAGGCGGTTTTCAAGGCGAAGAAGTTGAGGCAGGAAATGACCGAGGCGGCCAGAAAGAAGGAGAGCAGGAAGAGAGCACACAGTGCTCCCGGGAGCATGCCTCGTGAGGCAGCGAGAAAGAAGAGGATCGTAGCGGAGCTGGAGTAGTTTGGCATGCAAGTTTCAGTTCAGTTTACTAGGTGGTTTGAGCGTCACTCGACAGGCAGCAAAAGTCCAGGGAACAGCTTTCATCTCCAGTCAGAAAGTTTTACGGATCTGGTCTGTAGAGCTTGAGGAGATTCGCCATCCTTTTCACAGGGGATTCTCTTCAAGTTGGAAGAGAATCCAGGAGGTGCTTCCAGGCTGCTGCAGGCTTCAATGAGTGAGGACTTATGATTGGTCTTTGGGATCGTGCGTAAAAGTCTCGAGGTGGCGATTTTCTTAAGTCGGGGAATTCGCTTTCTTTAAGCGGTGAGCACCGATTCGTATCCAAAGAGACAATCGAGTACGTACCGAGTGGTGGGGGCTGAGGCCTGTGCACGACAAGTTATCCGGGATTTAATTACGACAGGAAAGAGGAGGTGCAAAACATGTCACAGTCGCAGCTCGCGCGTCAACTGCACTCATGTGGCAAGTGGATATTAGTTTTCTCTCCAGTCGCAAGACTCGAAGAGCTGGGAAATCATCTCACAGTCAGAGCTCCAGGGGATGGGAAAAATGGACGAAGAAAAAAGGAGATTTTGCGTGCTCGATGCGCACGATCCCACGAGAAGTTGAGAAGTTGAAGCCGGTAATGGAGGTGGATGGTCGTTGTGACGATATCAGATAGATAAATAGTACGGAACGTGCCGGGGCGGCGGCGGCGGCGCCAAGAGCTGAGATGGAAGTCACGAAAATGGCTTCTGGAAGAATCGGAGTATTTAAGGAGGGTGGAAGCTCGCAGCTCTCAGAGAGGCAAGATATCCCTCCTCGTTCTCCTCTTATCCGGAGGCAGTGGCAGCAGTAGCAGCAAAGGAAGGAAGATGGACTTCTTTTCGGCAGTTTTTCTTCCGGCTGCGCTGCTATTGTTCGTGGCTCTCAATCTCGCAGCTGCGCAACAATGGAGCAACGCTCATGCTACATTCTACGGGGGCAGCGATGCCTCGGGAACAATGGGTATGGCGAAGTGAAGTTCCTCTTGCGATTAGTTTTTGCTGACAAAAGTGGTCTTTTGTTTCTTGAAGGTGGTGCTTGCGGCTATGGAAACGTGCTTAGTGCTGGCTATGGAGTCAACACCGCGGCGTTGAGCACCGCCTTGTTCAATGGGGGAGCTACCTGCGGAGCTTGCTTCCAGATGCAGTGCGTCAACTCGAGATGGTGTCGTCCCGGAAAGTCGGTCACCGTCACCGCCACGAACTTTTGCCCCCCGAACAACGCCCTCCCAAGCGACAATGGGGGCTGGTGCAACACACCCAGGGAGCACTTCGATCTCTCCCAGCCAGTCTGGGAGCAAATGGCCATTTACCAAGGAGGGATCGTCCCAGTTCAGTACAGAAGGTAGACGCAAAAGCTTCCTTTTTCCTGTTTGTTTTTTCTCCAGGACTTTGATTTTGATGACGGAATTGATGATGTGGTGATGGTCTATCAGGGTCAAGTGCTACAAGCAAGGTGGGATCATCTTCACCATGAACGGCAACCCAAACTTCAACTTGGTTCTCATAAAAAACGTTGCCGGATGGGGGGATTTGAGAGCCGTGTCGATCAAAGGCTCCAACACCGGCTGGCTCCCAATGAAGAGGAACTGGGGATCGAATTGGGAATACCATGGAGTTCTAGTCGGCCAGTCCCTCTCCTTTCTGCTCACACCCAGCATGGGAGGATCTCTCATCTCGTACGATGTTTTTCCTCGCAACTGGCAGTTTGGACAGTCCTACTCGGGCCGGCAATTCAGCTAAAGCGAAGAGCCTTGCAGAACAAACGAAGAATAAGCGAGGACTTTTCTTAGTTGTGGGAGCGCTGCTCGAACTTTTCTCACGCGGAAAGAGTCTTCCAAACTCTCAGCTTTGCTGCGGTGCTTCAGGGGTACCCGCCACTGAGACTCCATGTTGATAGCAGTTGGATTTGATAAAAAAAAAAAAAACAATGGCCATCACAGCAAGATTATAGACAAAGTTTTGCCATGGTAGAAACATAATATGCATTGCATGGAGAAAAGGACCACTTGGCAATTGCTAGCATGCATAGTTTAGGTATATATAGGGTCTCAAGCCTCCAGCAATTAATCACCAATCCAATAGGCTCAATCAAGCTCGCTGTGATTACTCTCACCATGAAGGCTGCTTTAGTGTTCGTAGTGTTTGCAGTGGTTACTTTCCAGATTGCATTTTCTTCTTCTTCTTCAAGTAGTTTAGATGAAGTTGAGGTCTATGGGGTTTCAGCAGCTGTGGAGCCAGCGTCCAATTCTTCACTTGTGAATCCTTCAGAGATGGATGATTGGGAGCAAAGTGGTGATGGCCAAATCAAGCACAAGAGGAGGAGCAACAACAACAACAACAACAACATCAACATTAATATCAATATTTTCTGCAAGAACAAGTCTATGGATGGTGATCACAAGGAGGAGGAGGATGACAAGAAATCCATGGATCATGAACAGAAGGAGCAGGATGATAAAACTATGGATGGTGATCACAAGGGGGAGGAGGACAAGAAGTCCATGGATCAAGACAAGAAAAAGTCTTTTCCATAGACAATGTAGGAGTCTCAAAGCACCAATAAAATCATGAAGCATTCATATAGTTATTGAGAGAATGCATAAGCCCTAGTTGGAAGATTTTCTAGGGTTTAAGCGAGGGGCAATGGCGCTGCGCGGCGTCTGGCAGCTCAAGAAGCTCCTGGTCCACTACTGCAAGCGATCCGGCGGCTCGCGAGGCGCGAGGTACTGACGATGACGATGACCGCGGTTGCAAGCGCCTACATTCGTTTTCTCTAGGGATTTCGTGGAGACGCTCCTGCCGCGCTTCGCCAAGGCGAATCCACAGATCGAAATCGAGGCGAAGTGGCGCCCTCACCAGGATCCTTATCTCGAGGCATTCTTTCGTGAGTGTTTTAGAGCTCTACAAGTGGTTTTTACTCCTCTTTTATATTCTTGTTGTGTTCTTCATGTTCTTCCGGGTGTGTTCTCAGCTTGTCTGTGTTTACGTGCATCCACTCTTTTGGCTTTTCTTTTTCTGTTCTCTTATATTTTTCTTTGTGTTTCTCATGTGTTCTCATCTCCTGTTTCATCTTTGCCTACATTGCTTTCTTTGCATCTCTGCGTTTCTCATTTCGGTTTTCTCTGTTTCGAGCAGTGAACAAAAGGGAGAGGACGATTGGTCTCAGGAACTTAAGCGCCGAAGATTGCCTGGTTCAAGCCAAGAGGCTGCGCAACCTGGTTGGGCGGAGACCGATCAAGAGGAGAACGAGAGAGATCTCCACAAGAAAGAGCATTCAAGGGAGATGGACTCCCTTCCTCAAAATAACGTGATTTTTACGTGGAGGTAAACTCGAAAGTCCTGTTTTTCCTCTTTTATAATTTCCAAACCACGGTAATTTGTTCCTAAGATGATTTCAAGGTGTTTGAAGCTGTGGAAGAATCGCAGGACGACGAGGACTATTACAAGATCAAGCTTAGTGAAGAACATCTTTGAGACGGAGTTGGGAAAAGCTGTGTAGCTCCCAACGTCAAGCCGATTTGCTTACCTCTTGACAAAGATCTTTGTTGGTACTTTTGATATTTCCAGCCCTAGAATCTCGACTGCGTTGATCTCAGAGATGGTAGCAATAAACATGATGGCTGAACACAAAGAAAATATTGCCAGGGTTTTCTCTATCAACAAAAGAAGATCATGAAGACCTTCAGACTGTTATTTCGCTTATTAATGAGATTCGGCTCGTATTGGTGTCAAACAAGCTCTAGGCGGTCTTGGGTGGTGGTAGCGGCACAGCTATGGTTTCCAGCTCTCGTTCTTCAAGCAAAGGTGATAGTGGGCTTGGATTTTGGGACTACGTTTTCTACTCCCATCTGGCCAGTTGTGGAAGCGTCGCACACCATCCGGATGAGAGTGATGCACGAATGAGAAGGTGCCAAACATGAAGGTGCCAGTTCTGGGGGACTGGGAGGAGGAACTTACGTTGACAAGAAATTTCTCGACTTACTGATCAGAAAGATTGGGTGTCTAGAGAACATCATCAGAGCTTGGAAAGAGTAGTTTCAATGGAACTGGTGTCAAACTGTTTGAGCTTCCATGGAAGCTATTTGATGGGCAGCTGGGATGCGTAGAGGGTCATGGTGAGAAGTATTATGAGGAGATCCACCCTTGACACCGAGGTGGAGAAGGTTGCCTCTCATGACACGATGATCAAGCATGTCTTTTTGGGTGGCGGATTTTCAGAGAGTCGTCCTTACCTCGTGATAAAGATCATGGAGAAGTACCAGAGTAATGCTGACGTGATGAGAGAGGTGATCTCTCCTCCATCACCAGATGTTGCCATTTGCAAAGGTGCAGTGTGTTAGAGGTATAGATGATGTGGCATGTAATTATGCCCATGTGGTAGAAATTTCTATGTATATGTATTCGTCCATATATAGTTGAAATACACAAAGAATTTTTCCTCCTTGTGCACATCTCTCCACTATTAACATAGTATCAAAGTAATTAGTTCCTTGATTCTGAGCATGACACTTGCTAGGTATAAGGCCAATAACAAGGAAAATGAGCTTTTGCAATGCTTAAAGCTTTTGCACTAGCGTTGCATCAAAAGGCAGTAGCAAAGTCAATGGGGGTTAAGAAATTTTAACATAACCTTATTAAGCTATATGTATATTATAATATTTATGATATAGAAAGGGAATATGGAAAATGTGCATATCAATTAGCCTAAAAACCTTAACTTATATAAAAAATGAATGGTCTAGATTGAAACCAATCCGACAGTTATTAAAATCCTACTATACTATTATTAGTATATAGTATCATAGCCATATATTTGAACCTCTTCTTGAAATAATGGAAAACCAACAGAGTTCTTTCATAGATGGGCTAGGATTTTAAAGAACATCAAGAGGAGGCATTGGTAGATTTGTAGGTGGTGTCAGTTATTTCTGATACCTTTGTAAGAAGTGTTTTAATCATTGCACATGCATAATTTATAAAGGATCGGTTTGCTCCAGCTCCAGCACAATTCTCAGGGGGATGAAATTAGACCTCCCAATCCCTGCTTTCTTTGCGTACATCTCCATTTCAATGCATCACTCCAGATCGCAGGCATGGTGAGGCACCATCCTATCTCTTCCTCCTGCAAGCTCAATCCATAATTGCCGGAGATGCCTGCCAATGAATCCATGATAAGCTTCTCCACTGAAAGCCAATCCGGAAGACCTTTTAACGTGCTCTTCGCGAGCTCACCATCTTCGAGCATGTGCTTGAACTTGGTCACGAAGAAACCCAGCTCCCCTCGGTTGGAAGAAGCCTGGAGAGCGTCCGAATAGGCTTTGAGCGCGCTCCATCCCCAAGAGAAGTTCCCCCGTTTGTGAGTAGAACAAGCTGGTTTGCGTCTTACAGTAGGGCCTGCTCGCATCTGGCCAGTCATAAAAGCTATGGACATCATCAGGATCAGAGCGATGAGAAAAAGGAGAACCCAGAAAACTTAGTCCCGATGACACCTTTCAGTTAATTGGAAATCTATGTTTTATTTTCTCGATTTAGCTCTCCGAGAACACGCACTCTCTCTCCTAAAATTATCTGGAAAGCTGGGAAACTGTTGCTAATGCTCGATATCTTTCGCTGTTTTGCAGGAGCAGCAAGAGCAACCTCAGCAGCTCCATGCTGATCTTAGCCTGCCATGGTAACGATGAGAGGCCCGGATCAGTGACGTGGGATCGGCTGTCGATTCCCCCTTCCTCATGTATGTCCAAAGGTGTTTCTGCCTAGGAAAAGCTACTTTTTGGAGATTATTGAGACAACAGCACCACTCATACCCGAGTATGCGTTTTGGTCTGCAATGCCATCACCCTATGCCATTACACTACATTCCCGGGCCTCTTGGACCAGGGTGATAGGCTTCAAGTTGGAAGCCAACTGCTTGTCAATGAGGTCTACAAGTTTTCCCACCTCCGTCTCCTTTCGTCTTTGGCTGCTTATTTCGTTTTGAATTTATAAAAACGAAGATCCCTTGATTCCCCGCCCAACCAAGCTGAACCAGGCGCTTAAGTTCCTGTTTATCGGGACCAGTAACCTCTCTCTACGTTCACTGCTCGAAACAGAAAAGGAAAATGAGAAACACAGAGATGCAACGAAAGCAATGTGCAAGGAACATAGAACGCATGAGACGAAATGGAGAAAAACTACTTGCAGAGAGATTTCTCATTTTCTCAATTTCTTCTTTGTGTTGATGGTGCCTTTCACCCCCCATCTCTATGGAAGATGCACTCAGCTCAACGCAGTAGAGCTTCTCAGGCTCGTGGTTCTTGCCAAAGTTGGGCCGCTGTGCAAAATGCTCATCATCTCAGACTAGCTAGGCATGATTCAGGCTTGAATTCAGGTATAGATTAGCCACCTGATCATGAGTGGGATTGTCATCTAATTATGCCCACGTGGCAGTAGTTTTTATATATATGTACCCATTCATATATAGTTGAAATAGAGTTCTTCCTCCTCATGTATGTCTTTCCACTGCTAACATAGTGCCACTCGGTTTTGGTACCTGTTGTCTCCAGAATCTCCAAGAAATGGTATGGCTTAGTTCCAGGATGGTGAGTACAAGTTTGAGTTGAGTTATGCAATCCAAGTGGCACCAAACATAGATCAAATGCAACGAGTGGCTTGAATCTGTGCAAAATTTGCAAATTCTAGCTCCTTCTGGCTATAGGGATGCATAGCAAAAAACACGGAGGGCTGGATTTTGCAAAGTAGCTATGCATAGATCTGTTTACTTTGAGATGTGAAATTGCTCCAAAGTACATCATTTTGGTCGTACGGGAATGCGAGCTCTTACTATGAGCATTTGTGTTTCCCAGTCGATAGTAATATTTGAAAATGCTGAATACAGCAGTGGTTGTATTTTTAATGTTCTCACTTCTCCTTCTCCGATTGATACGGGTTTCCAACTTCGTGATTCCTGTATGTTTTTC